ACCTCGTCGTGCAGGAGCTGCCGCGCCGCGGGCGAGAGCATCGAGACGCCCTCGGCGCTCGCGAACCCCGTCGAGACGACCCGGCGCGTCGCGAGGTAGGCCTCTAAGGAGGAGGTGGTGAAACTCGAAAAGTCCACGGCGACCTCCGGGATGAACACCGAGGCATCCCACACGATCGCATCCGCGCAGGGCGGGCGATCCGAAAAGGGGGTCCCCGGCGAAGGCCCGTCGTCGCCGCCGCGCCCGAGCTGCGCCCGCCGCTTCGCGAACCAAAGGTCGTCATCCTCGCGTTCGAGGATTTTGGATTTCTTCTTTTTTAACTCCGGCAGGGAAAAGAGGTTGGTGAGGGGGCGGGTCCACCATTGGGAGAGCTGGCGTTGAAGCCCGGAGGCCGCCGTGAGGGCCGGCGAGGTGGTCGAGGGGAGAAACCCGCCTCCTGGGGTGGATTTTCGCTTCCCAAAAGACCCCTTCCCGGGGTAGGAAGCGGTGCATCGCGCGAGCGGAAGGTTCGCGCGATTCGCCTGCTGCAGCGCATTCATCGCGGCGACGTAAAACCCGCGAATGGTGGTTTCCTGATCCTGCCACCATCGCCCCCACCACCCCACCCCGAGCCGACGCCGCAGCTCGCACACGAGCAGCCGCTTCGCGAGGTTGAGCTCCCCCACCACGAAATCGAGCCCCCCGGCGTCGACCGCCTTGAGGGTGTGAAAGCGAGGATACCGCGCGACGATCGTGAGAAGACGGCGGCTGACGGCCTCATCGGGGCGAAAAACCCACGCGGCGGGTCCCCCACAACGCGTCGGAGCATCCATCGGGGAACGAGAAGACAACAGCGGCGCCCCTTCCGTGTGTTCCTCGCCATGGCTGCCTTCCATTGCCTGCCCGGCGGGCGCGCGCGCGGAGCCCGCCGATTCGCTCCGCGGGCTTTCCTCCTCGTCCTTCGCCACGGCGCCGATGAAGACGGCGCCGTTGGGTTTCTGCCGAGGCGACGACGCGGGATCGACGAGGGCGGTTCGACCCCCCCCTACCCCCCCCCACTGCTCCGCCACCCACACGCTTTGATAAATCTTCGAAACGCGAAAGAGGGAGCTGAAGTTAAGCGTCGCGCTGAAAACATTCGACGCGAGGGTGGAAAGAAGGGTGGATCGGGACGAAGGGGTCGTCGTGCTTTGGGTGATCACGTGGGTGAGCTCATCGCAGGCGGCGAGGACCGCCTCCGCCTCCTTCTCCGCCTCCGCAAGCGCGGAGGCGGGATCGGAAGGGCGGGAATGCCCCCCAGAGGCTCGTGCGGCCACCTCTTCATGATAAATCGCCCGCGCCCGTCGGGAAAGAAAGAACTCCACCACGAGATTCAAAATCAAAATGATTCCCGCCATGAAGGTGTCCTCTTCGATGAGTTCCGGGGCGGGAGAGGGGGCCTCGCGCATCTCACGGCCGCGCTCTCCCAACCGCCGCTGCGCACGCGCCATCTGATGGAGCAGCCTCGCCACATCCTCACTCCGCTCACAGGAAAGGAGGATCGCGCAGAGATCCCGCAGACTCGCGATACGCGCGAGGAGCTCCCACGCTGAACGCGCCTCGAGGTTTTCGGAAAGGTGGGAGGAGGAGGAGGCGCCCTCCCTGTTTTTTCCCGAAGGTGCCGCCCACGACACCGGTGAAAAGGGTGAAAACGGGCTGCTCTCCATCACCCCCCTCCCCGCGGCGGCGTCGTCGAGGGGGAGCATCAAATTCGGGACGGGCGTCGAGGAAGGGGGCGCGCGAGGCCCCCCTTCTCCTCCTCCCCCTTCCTCCCCCACCCCATCCGTCGCGCGAACACAAAGAAGAGAGCTCCAACTCGCGGCGGAAACAAGATCCCCCTCCATCGCCTCTTCCGAAAGCGAAAACGGCGCATCCGGGGAGGAAGGGGACCCTGTTCGCCCTTCCAGCTCCCGAACCTCACGAATCAACCCCTTCAGGTCGAGAACGCCCAGCCAGTGATAGGCGTCCTCGAAGTAGCCGCTATCCCACAACATATACGCGGTATTCCACACCAACGCGGCCACCAACAACGGGAAGGAAACCCCACCAGAAGGAGAGGAGGGTCGTCGAACAAGAGATCCGCCCATCGCCCGCCGCGACGCGAGCGCCCACGTCTCGGAGCTTTTCAACATCGGCATGAAACGCCTCATGGAAGGGCTTGGAAAGTCCCCTGACGGCGAGGGATCCGCGCCGAAAGGAAGGGGACTTACAACGCTCGCGGGTGGTGGAGGGGGGGGGCCACAGCGCCGTCGGAGCACGGCGAGAGGGAGGGCGTTGAGGTCGACTCTCGCGAGGACGCGCCACAGCCACTTTGGCGCCACCCTTTCACCCATCGCAGGGGGATTTTCCTCCACTTCACCCGGGGGATTCGCTGAAGGGGGAGGGGGTTCACGCGAATCCTCTTTTTCACCCTCTTTCTGCACGTCCTGTCCCTCCTTTTCCCCTTCATCGTCCCCCTCCATGTCGCTGGTGTCGAGGGCAAGAATGTCGTTGAAGGGATTCCAGCTGGGCTCAAAAGGGCCCGGGCCCGGTCGATTCACAGGCCGACTTGCAGGGGCGACCTCAGGAGGGGCCTCCATCGCATTTCCCATCAACTCCTCCACCAATTCCCCTTTCTTCTGGAGAAGTTGAACGATCATCGAAAAGTGATTCGACGCCAGGACCGTTTGCCCACTCGAGGCCGCCGTAATCGCACTGGAAAGAAACAGCTGAATGAGCTGGGCGTCGGTCCACGCCTTGGATGAATTTCTCCCCCCTGTGGTCGATTCCGCCGCGGACTTCGTGAGGGGAGGGGCTCCCCCCTCAAGAGGGGGGTGGGAAGACGACGCGGGGAGGGCTTTGGCGTCGTCGTGGTGAGTACTGAGTGGATCCACACCCGACATCGCCCCACTTTCGTCCGAAAATCGGGATTGCTTCACGGAGGAAGAATCCGCCGCATGTGGCGTCCTCCCAGACCACTCTGAGGTTGTTTTCCCCTCAGTAAACGAGCCGGAGGAGGTGTCGCCCTTGCTCTCCTCCTGCTCCTCCTCCTCCTCCACGTCGGTCTCTGAGGGCGCCGTCGCCCGCACTTCCTCGTAGGCGACGTTGCTGAACAACTGAAGCTGCTGGAGGGAGAGGGCGGAGTTTAAATAGCGCTGTTCATCCTCAAAAGTCGCGCGAATGCAGTCAGCGGTGCTCATCCGCGCCTGCGATTCGAGCGCGAAGGGTCCTTGGGCGGCGAGGTGAAGCTTCCCAGGCGCGCAGCGTTCATCCCCGCTGAAGCGATGATACAGCTTTCGCTTGACTTCTTGCAACCGCGCGAGCAGCGCGTAGGAGGCGGAGCAGGCGGCGATCGTGCGTGGGGAATCTAAAAAGGTCTTGCGATACCCTAATAACGCCCTCCACCCGCCAAACTCAGCCCCTCTTCCCGGAAGAAAGGTGGTTGACCTCTGCGCCGTGCTTTCCATCTGATTCTTAGCCGGGGAGCTGAGAAAGCCATGAGTGTGCTCCGGAAGGGCCTCCACCAGGCCGGGAACATCCTCCAACGTCGCCAGGAGGGCGTCCTCCATTCCTTTTAGCTCCAAATTCCACCGCAACACCTGTTCTACCGCACAATCATCCCCATGCCTGGCTGGGGTTGGAGAAGGGGTATCTTGGGGAACCGACGCACTCTCGGAAGGTGGTTTGGCATCGGGCGACACCGCTTTGCTTCCCGAAGCTTGCGAGTCCGGTTTCGGGGGTTGACGCGTGCCCACCGCAAGTTCGCTTTCCATACTATTTAACTTAGCATCGATCACTTCCGAAAGAGCGTCAAGTCGTTCGAGGTATGGCTCCATAGGTCCCTGATCTGCATTTGGAAGGTTGTCTTTTCCTTTCCCAATTGAAAACATTATACTCACCGATTTCTTTATGAATGTGCACACATATATAAATGGCTCTTTTCACTGCCAAAAGGTGTAGTAAACGTAAGTGTGTAATATTCTGTTCGCTTGTTAATAGTAAGCGCTAAAAATATATCTAAAAAGCAGAACTGTTGCTTCCTCTTAAACGCTGAAGAGTAAAGGAATAAAACTGATTAGTTTGATAAACGAAACAAAGGATTGCCGATGAACCATGACAGACATTTCCCTATCGTTGGAATGAAAAGCGAGGGTAACAATGAATGGCAAGTAAGCATGATATTAGGTGAATAACTAGGCATAAGAGGACTCCTTCCTCGTACAGCCTTTTTTATTAGCCCATACCACGCCGCCATTATTGTACACTCGCTTAACATATTCAAATGTGTGTATTTAAAGAGGTAAATAAAAGGCTAAAGAAAAATAATCATACGACCACGAAGCAATCTAGTTCTCCATCCATTTCACTATGCACTAATCAGGATCGCA